AAACAAAACAGTTGCATTTTACAATATTGACTAGTGTCAGCAATGGAATTGATGATTTTTTTGGTACAAATTTGTTCTTCTCATGAAATGGTATGATTCCCAGGGAGGAAGTGACAGGAAGCCATTCCTATGCAGACGGGCCCCATTATCCTTGTAGCAGGGGTTCTCCATCTAGGTAACTTTATCTGTCCTGAAGATTGGAAAATCCAGGATGCGTTGGATTTTCAAAGAGCTCCTCTGTGTTGTGTTTCAGCTCTCAGTTACTGGCCTCTTTATCCCCAGTGAAAACTAAATCTCCGTGATGTGCTAGATGGCACGGGCTGAATTATTTGTATTACAGGTAATTTTCTTGTCACCCACAGGTGGCCAGAGCATGATCAGCAAGCAGTGGGTTGATTCTGTAAGCATTTTAGTAAGTTGAATATCAGCCATGACTTAAAGCTGATAGCGTTGTTGGTGGTAGTGGTGTGTTTTTGGTTTTTCGTTTGTTTGGTGGTGTTTGTACTTTTTTTTTTTTAAATCACAACCCTCCTCCTCTGTTCCATATGCATGTCTATATTTTATTGCAAGGGAAATACATGCAATTCTGGGAGAAACCAGAAACTCCAGAGAATGTCAGATTGAATGGAATTAAAGTTTTAAAAATAATATGATTATCATGACATTTATTTCCTTCCCCCATTTCACACTCTTAAAAACTATTGACACTGGACCCCTTCCTTATACCATATGCAAAAATCAATTCAAGATCAATTAAAGACTTAAATGTAAAACTCTAAAGGGGAAGACAGCCTAAGCGATACCATTCTGGACATAGAAACAGGCAAAGATTTTATGACAAAGGTACCAAAAGGGAAGATATTTTCAGCTCATCCATGGTCAATTACTGTGAAGTCAGGAGAAGATTGATTTTAAAGATTATGGAATTTCAGATGGAATGAATTTAATTGAAAAAATCATGCTTCTACCTTCAAAGAATGTAGAAGAAAAATGAATGCTCACCATTTTGCTGAAATGTCACAGGAGGTGTCCCATGAAAAGATCTTTTTCTTGCGATATTTGACAAAATTTAGTTTGTTTGAAGGCAGCTTTTTGAGGTGTAAAATTTTAAAATTGAATAAAATACATCTTTTTAGGTACACATTTTTATAAATTTTCACAAATATTTATTGTCAGGACCATCCAAATAAAAATATAGATCATGTACTTCATACCAAAAAATTCCCTCATTATTCTCTGCCTTTCAATCAGTTTCCTCTCTCCACCCCCAGACCCTGGCCACCAGTGGTTTGTTCTTGGCCCCGTATTTTTGTTATCACAATATCACATAAATGGATTTATACAGTTTTCGGCTTTTTGGGTTTTGCTTTTTTCACTAATCCTGATACATTTGAAATTCGTATGTCTTTTTGCAAGAGGATAAGTTTGCCTTATTGCTAACTAGTATTCTTTTATTTGGAGGTAGCAATATTTGTTGATCTCTCCCACAGTTGATTGACATTTGTTTCTAGCTTTTAATGATTATGAATAAACTTCCTATGAACATATGGATTCAAGTTTTTGTTGGGATATATGTTTTCATTTGTTTTAGATAAATTGAATTGCTGAGTTGTATAGTAAGTGTATATTTAAATTGATGTGAAACTGACACGCTGTTTTCCAAAGTGGTTGTACTATTTTTCATTGCTACCAGGAATTCATGAAGTTTATGTTGCCCTGTAGTTTTAGCAATACTTGAAATTGTTGTCTGTCTTTTACTGTTCTTATAGCATGATAATATCTCATTGCAGTTTTAATTTGCATTATCTTAATGACTAACAATATTAAGCATCCTTTAATAGCTGTATAGAGTTTTGGTAAGCATCTCTTCAAATCCTTTGCCTGTTTTTAAAAATGTATACAAAAACAGGCATCTAGACTAATGGAACAGAATAGAGAGCCCCGAAATAAGGTTGCATACCTATGACCATCTGATTGTCAACAAAGCGGACAAAAATCAAGCAATGGGGAAAAGATCCCCTATTCAATAAGTGATGTTGGGAGAACTGGCTAGTCATCTGCAGGAGATTGACTCTGGACCCCTTCCTTATACCATATGCAATAACCAATTCAAGATGAATTAAAGACTTAAATGTAAAACTATAAAAACATGGAAGACAGCCTAAGCGATACGATTCTGGACATAGAAACAGGCAAAGATTTTATGCCAAAGATACTAAAAACAATCACAACCTAAGCAAAATTGACAATTGGGATCTAATTAAACTTAAGAGCTTCTGCACAGGAAAAAAAAAAAAAAAAACTATCAACAGAGTAAATATGCAACTTACAGAATAGGAAAACATTTTTACAAACTGTGTATCTGACAAGGTCTAATATCCAGCATCTATAGAAAACTTAAATTATACAAGAGAAAGATAACTCCATTAAAGAATAAACAGACTTCTGAACAGACATTTTTCAAAGAAGACACACATGCGGCCAACAAGCATATGAAAAAAATAATAATTTCATTATCACTGATCATTAGAGAAATGCAAATCAAAACCACAATCAGATACCATCTCACACCAGTTAGAATGGCCATTATTGATAAAATTAAAAAATAACAGATGCTGACTAAGTTGCAGAGAAAAGAGAACACTTATACATGGCTGTTGTGAGTGTAAATCAACCTAAATGCCTATCAATGGCAGACTGGATAAAGGAAATGTGGTACATATACAACGTGGAATACTATGTGGTCATAAAAAAGAATGAGATCATGCCTTTTGTAGGAACATGGATGGAGCTAGAGACGATTATCCTTGGCAAACTAATACAGGAAGAGAAAACCAAATACTGAATATTCTCACATATAAGTGGAAGCTACATGCTGAGAACTTATCAATACAAAGAAGGAAACAACAGACACTGGGATCTGTTGAGGGTAGAGGGTGGGAGGAGGGAGAGAAGGAGAGAAGGTAAGTATTAGGTACTGGGCTTAATACCTGGATGATGAAATAATCAGTACAACAAACCCCCATGACTTGAGTTTAACTATGTAACAAATCTTCACATGTACCACTGACCCTAAAATAAATATTAAAAAATAAAAATAAAACTTTGGTTATTTATTTTATTGTTGAAATATTAACTAATGAATTAACTGTTGAGAATTCTTTATCCTGGAAGTAAGTTATTTATCATGTATTTAGCACATAGGTGTTTTATTAAGTATTTTCTATTAGTTTATTTGTTTATGTTATCTTTCAAAGAACAGAGCCTTTTAATTTTAGTAAAGTCCGATTTGGAAAGCTTTTCTTTTATGATTCATATGTTTTGTCTCCTATCTAAGAGATCTTTAATTTTTGCCTAACCGAAGAGCTCAAAGAGCTATGAAGAGTTTATACTCAAAGACTTGAGGAGAGTTTGTAAAGCATGTTGATCATGGATGCACAGCAAGCCTGGAGAAAATGGGCTCTGGAACCTGGCCTATGTCACCTGCTAGACCAAGGGAGACCTTGGGAGTCTGACTGCCCAAGGAGAAGCAGATAGGTAGACACAGTGTCCAAAAAAGACAGAGCAAGTTCATATGTGATTCAAGTAATGGTCAATATCAAGGAGTCAAAGGACAGAAGGGTGGGGATGGGGTCAGCATGAAGTAGAATGACATTACTCAAAAAATATGCCCCTTGTTGACAGGAAACCAGCTGGCTTGATGAACCACAGCAAATATCCATTCCTCAGAGAGAGAGCCAAGAAAGTTTCCTGGAATTCACTTTTGGGGAAACAATTCTAAGGCTGTTGGGATGCAATAGGAAAGCTTGTGATTCACTATCATTCACAAGCTCACAGGTCTTAAAGCACCTGTGATTTCAGGACCATCTGCCTCAAAACTACCTGGGAGGTCATTTATTATGCAGATTCCTGGGCTGACTTCCGGCTTGCTGAATCAGAATTGTTTGAAGAATGGCAAGTAAGTCTCTGGACTTCTACAAGCTTTTCAAGAGACTGCTGAAAACACTCCAGTAACTTAGGGTGTAACAAATATAAAACACTAAAGGATTGGGATAGAGGAAAGATGTGAAGAGAGGCAGCTGTGTGTTTTCATGTGTCTCTTGGCTTTGGATGAATTGTCACAGAAGTTGTGTCTGATCTAGAAGTAATATAACTTAGTAGCATTTCTGCAAGGCAGAAAGTGGAAAGGGGAACCTAATATTTTGAGATTGTACATAAGGTGGCAATATATTATGAAATATATATTAGCAGGCTGAAGAGACATAGAGATGGAAAAATAAATGAATGTAGACAGAGTAATTTGCACCAATGGAGGAGTTGGTAACCATTGAAACAATATAAATATAATCAAAACAGTATTTTGAAAGATTTTAGGTTTTGTTTTGAAGAAAATGCTTCATTTCATCATTTGAAGTGGCACCACCTCTCAAGGTATATCAAAAATTTATTAGGCAGTTATGTTATATATAATATTTAATTGCAACAACATGAAAATAATAAATGTATTCCAGTACCTGACATGTGGCATGTTAATTCTTAATCAAAACTCCTAAAGGCTATTTTTTAATTTTCTCTTTTACTTTGGATGTTATACAGTCTCTATTTTTAACAACTTTGTTTTTAATTTCCTGATTTTACATATACAAAATGAATCACCATAATGCAAGTAAGAGTTTAGTCTATAAACATGAATAAAAATATGAGCAGAAATATGCTGTGTGAAATAAAATAGCAAGCTATTTTAAATCTAAGTTCTCACCTAAAAATATCAATTATTACAAGACATTTTTGTTTAAATAAAAAGCAAAAATAACCACCAGTGGTTTTCTTTTCAGTGCAAATCCATGAGGACATCAAGGCCCTGATTTCTGGGTTAGTTCTGACGATTTCAAAAGTGAAATAAAAAGACCTTTGCCCTTGCAGAATGTTTTTTTCTAAGTCTTACCCCAGTAACTCACTCAAAATGAAAAACAGACTTTAGGGCTGCTTTAGCATTATTTTAAGCTACATTACTGCATACCAGTGAATTTTGTTTTGCTTTGGTTTTGCTGTAGCATAAATTAACAAGGTGTCAAATGAACATTGTGACCCCATTTTTATCTCCAGCAGACTAAATTCAGAGCTGAGAACAGGGCTGCCTTCTGCAGCTCAGCAAAACTGTACGTGGAAAATTTCACAAGCTCAGCTGGTTCTTGGGGACAGCAAATCTCCGGTATCCTGACGATCATCTGGTAAGAACATTTCCACACTTTGTGACTCACGCGGGCCTTGATCTCACGGTGCTTTCGCTGCCCACTAATCATATTTGAAACCTGTGCTTCCTCTGCCGAGTGTGGAGAATCTACCATAAAGAAAGTGCCCTTTCAGCTGTAGTTTTTCTCCAGGCAGCACTACCCTGATTTTGGAAAGAGCTCAGCTCTTCAACTCCCCTGGGCACATAGAACAGCAGAGTGGAAGAGTGGAAACTGCCAAAATGCTAATCATGGAAAAAAAAAAATAACAAGATCCAGATGGGACAAAATGGACATATTTCATTTATCCTGGGAAACTCTACAGTGTATCATTTGAGATGCATAATACACCCAGCCTTGGCCCTTTATAAACAAACTCTACAGAGGCATATGCCGCAAGATTATAAACAGAGTTGGCCATAAATTTGATAGGACCATACATTCAGCTTTGCACACATGGTTATGGCTTATTCAGCGGGATCCGGAGGCTACAGTCTGTTCCCTTGGCTGCTAATCAATTCTTTAATCTCAGCTCACCCAAAGGGGCAGAATCCCAGAGGACCAATTCACCCTAATGAAACTCAGAGGCATTTAATACCAAAAGAAACTGTAGCTGACTTTGACTTGGCCCATGCCTGTGCTAGGAAACCATGTTTATGATGCCAAGGTTTTTGAAGGGCTAGAAAAGCTATTCTTACCCTTTAGTGGGCAAAAGTGGGTTACTTTAAAAAGCAGAGATTCCTTGGTTTCCAGTTCTGGCTCTCAACTTCAGTCCATCTCTACTAATTCAGTAGATTTGGGCCTGAGTATTACATCCACCTTTGAACAAGTACTTCAGGTGACTCGGAACTAGTGGTTCTAGAAAACACACTTGGAGAAACATTGAAATAGATCAATTATTAGGAAACTGCTTTTATGGGTGTAGAAGATATTTTTAAGAGTCATTCCATTAGCTTTATTCAGGAAGGAAACTGTCTTCCATTCTGAAAGAGTAGCATAAATGTAAGGTGATAAGGCTGTGATCGACCTCTTCATCAGAATCCCAATGATGTTTTCCAAACTATTATATGTATTAACTAGCACTTTGCACACAGAAGGATTTTAATAACTAATTTTTGATATCTTATGTGCCCTGCTTCACCCCTATATTCCCTACCCTGTGGCTTCTTTGTAGTTGAATTGTTTGTATGGTAATTCCCAGAATCACCTTTTCTCTGTCCCTACAGGAAAGAGCGGTGGACCATGAGAAATCCCAGCTCAGAGTAAGTTAGCTAAAGATCTAACTTCATGAAAATTACTTCATCACTCCCTTCTAGATAAATCATTCTGAAACTCAAGGGCTATGTAAAATTGCACGCAATTTAAAGATAGGGTGGGGGAAATACAAGGAATTTGAAGTTCCAACAAGCTTAGATCTGTGAGTCAGTGGCCCTTGGTGGCAATGGACTCAGAAGGGCGGGGTCTAACCGGTGGGTGAAGGTATAGAGGCTACACCACACACTCTTCCCCAGGAGAACTCAGAACAGGTGGATGAGATGGAAGCAAGGAAATGGCCCTCATCTTCACATGATTTGTTTTAGTCTTGGCTTTGCCTCTTCATTAACTTATAATTTAATTTTTGTTTTTGTCAAAGATGGATTCACGTCCTTTTAATGTGCCTGGCATGTATTATGTTTTGGACTTATAAAAGGCATTGCCTACTTATTTGCCTTCTGTTTTCTTGGCTCTTGGCTCTTCAATCCTATGGACTTCCCACAACAGTGACTATAAGAATGCCAGGACCACGTAGGTGCCTATGTCCCATCTGTATGGAACTCTCTAGAAGCCTCAGCAAACAGAGTGTAATGATCATATGGAACTATGACGTATCCTGTCAACTTTTCTCTGCTTTAGCTTTTTTAAAAAAATTTCTGTTACCTGTTATGGCTCATTATAGTAAAGTCATAGATGAGTCATGACTCATCTTCATAAATCTTGATATCCTCATCCAGAATAGAGTTCATAATTGAGACAGCAATCTTTTCAGGTCCTTTTCTAAGGCCTTGAAATCAAACCGTCAAAAGTTCTATAGTGTAAGAAATAATGTATTTTAACTTTTCCATACATTAGGTAACTTCTGCTTTGGGCCCTACTTACTCTTTGGTGGGAAAAGTAAATTATGTCAACAAATTACTTTATCTACTTCCACTTTCTCAGCATGGCATCTATATTCCAGGGGCTTTCATGGTGCCATGCTTGGGGATTAAGAGCATCTGATTCTTGGTTATCGTCATTGCAGGCCGGTGTCTTTTCAGCCGTATTTCATCTTGTCTGCTCCCTAGACTTCAACTCATACAGGGTCCTGAGAGATATAAATATCCCTTGCTTCTGAGTATAGAAGTTCTCCAGTTCTAGCTCTCTGACAATTGTAATTTTCCACCTAAACATTCCCAGGCAGTGGGAATGTTTAGCTGCTTTCATTTCCTAGGCTGGGAACTGAGACACACTGTGGACTCCCAGGGCGATCAAAGGTCCTTGAACAATTTTTTATTCTTCTAGGGTGCACAGGAAATCTTTCAGAATAACACATGGAACTTGCCAGTTTCTTAGAATGTTCTCTGTGGCTGGTAGACATACTGCTTATGTGCTTTTATTTCCATACCAATCCAGGAGTTCTAATTCTTCGGGAGAGTGAGCTTGGGGAGAGGGGTAAGGTACAGGAACTTTTTAAATACATTTTCTTCCTACTCTTTCTCTTATTCTTCCTATTTAGAAAATTTTATCTACAAAATATTATTCTGATTTTGTATTCTTGTATCTTTTCAAATCTATTTTGTTCCTGGATAATAGCTTTGTTGTTGTTGTTGTTGTTGTTGTTTCTGAAATTCAAAACCAGAACTTGTTTGTTGCAGTCTTCAGCATGATATCTTTCCTAAGACAATGGTGGCAGAATACCTGTGTTCTAGTTGGTTGGAGTCAGATTGAAGGGGGAGGTGGGGGAAGATAAGAGGTACAGAAATAGTAGAAAAACCATATTGGCTAATAAATCAAAATATTTTCTCACTACCCTATTTGTGATCTCATCTGAACATATTTTTAGGTTTACAGGAAAAGCGCAAAGAATGGTAGAGTTGATGGGATGGGGGTCAATAAGTGTATGACCCAAATTAATGAATCGGATTTTTTAAATGTGCTTTGAATTTAGGCTTTCATTCCATTTCCATAAACAAATTATATCTAATTTCACAGAGGCATAAACTACAAGAAATGTTGAACAGACTGGATCATAAATACAAGAAAAAGTGCTTTGTTTTGGAAATTTCGAAGTTTAAAGGTGTATAAATGACACGTAAATACCAGTCATGACTCTTTGTCATCAGCATTGGTCTTAGTTTGTGGTCTCCTAATTCATTTTGGTCCAAGGCATCACAATTTATTTTCTTTGGAAATACTTTTTTCATCTAAATTCCTAAAGTCGGAGAAGCCTAGGGTTCCATTTCCTCCTTAATGAATCTGCTAGGGGTGAGCACGAGGTTGGCAATGCATTGGGTGTAACAGAAGATGCAACTCCTGGCATGAGAGAGAAAACAAGAGCTGAGACCTGGCCTGAGTTACCCAAAGCTAAGGATAAGAAAATGGAAGCAATTATATCAAGAAAATAAGCCTCCCATTTCATCTTCTATTTTAGGCACATTAAAATTAGAAAGGGAAATTCTAAGACTTACTATATAATTTTGATTTTTGCTCCTAAAACTTTCAGGTAGCTGGATACCTGAAAATTATTGATATGTATGACTAAAGTAAGTATTTATCTTTATAGAATATATATATAATTGTGTGTGTGTGTGTATATATATATATATATATATATATACACACACAGACACTGAATAGTATACATACTAAATAGTATAATGTGTCTATATACTTAGTGTTATTTTTATATACTTATATATACTTACACTTATTTACTGTGGGTATATATATATATAAAGTTTAAATACACACACACACACACACACACACACACACACACACACACTTACTATTACTTGCTATCTGTTACATACCAGCATTTATACTTAGATGGAGTTTACATACAGATTTTGACAGTACTCTTAAGCAACCCCATTCTTGGAATACTTTTTTATAGAACATGAGTGTCCAAAATATATATATATTTTTGTTCTTGGAGGTAAGAAGGAAGGAAAAAAGGAAATTAAACTGTGTTGTATACTATAACTACATGAAAGGCATTAACATTCATACTTTCAGTAAATATTTATTTACTGCAGTATGCACCACACATTTTTGGGAGAGGTTATTGTATTAGTTCGTTTTCACCCTGCTATAAAATACTGCGTGAGACTGGGTAATTATATAGGAAAGAGGTTTAATTGACTTACAGTTTCTCATGGCTGGGGGAAACCTCAGGAAACTTACAATCATGGTGGAGGGCAAAGGGAAAGTGAAGCACCTTTTTCCACAAGGTGTCAGGAAGGAGAAATGCCAAGCAAAGGGGGACAAGTCCCTTATAAAACCATTAGATCTCGTGAGAATTCACTCACTATCGTGAAAACAGCACAGGGGATGGGGGAAATTATCAATGACTCAATTACCTCAACCTGGTCTCCTTAACACATGGGGATTATGAGGATTATGGAGATTACAACTCAAGATGAGATTTGGATGGGGACATAAAGCCTAACCGTATCAGTTATTAAGTATACACTGGTGAGCAAAAATAGGTATAGTCCTTGCTCTCACTGAATTTACAGTCTTGTAATAAAAGTTCAGTCAAATTGTCTTGCAAGTTAAACATAAAATTATATGTGTGGGAAATGTAGGGAAGGAGGAGACATGGGGCTATATGTTCTATAACAAGCTTGTCCATGGCCCGTGGGTCACATGCAGCCTAGGATGGCTTTGAATGTGGCCTAACACAAACTCATAAACTTTCTTAGTACATTATGAGATTTGTTCGTGATTTTCTTTTTAGCTCATCTGCTATTGTTAGTGGT